ACAATGACAATGCTCCACTGGAAGTTTTTCACCAAATACGAAGTTGTCGCTGCATGTATTAGAAGAAGGAGATGAGTTCTCCATAGCTTGTACACACCCACAATCACAATGCGAATTACGTACATGATGCAATGAAGAATAGGGGAAGAAATGTTCTTATTCCGAGGATCTATTTTTAATGAAGAAATTTTTACTTTCCTTTGGACTGACGATTTTATCCTTAAAAATATAATATTCGACATTTCATAACAAATTTGGTTGGAAGGATCAATACTAATAAAAAATAAAATTAAATATCAAAATTGAAAAACTAAAGATCGTGCATCAAAAGTAATAAGATCCCATAACTTATATGACCATAAGTGAAATTAATTATTTGGAATTTTCTTGAGTCTTGTTTGTAGAATTTGATTCTTATTATTTATTTTTATTTTTACTTTTAAAAACAAAAGATTGGCACAAAGCTCCGATCCTATGGTTACATCAATAGTCTAATGGACTCAAATATAACATTTTTAGTATAGTAAGATTCCTACGTTTGATTCAAGTTATTTAATAAGATAACAAATGTTTTATTTGATTGGTTATGGAACATTACTACGTTTGGTTGAAATTCCCATGGAATAAAATATACTCTTCAACCAAACATGTTTATATTTTATACCCCGGCTCAAGTATTGATGCTCAAATTTATATATGACCTCATTTGGAATAGTAACTTCATGACACTAGATCACAAAGTCATTGGCTCCTAGCTTGGCAATCTAATATTCCTCCTGTCTCATTTTATATGTCCTACTTACTATTCATTTGTCAAACTAACTCTTTCTTTTTGTTTATTTTGTTTAGTATTTTTTATTTATTTTTAAATTTGATATTTTTTTGTGTTTAATAATACTTTTAGTGTAATTTTTAAATATATAAATTTTATATACTAAATAGTAAATACTAAACTTAATATTATTGAAAAATTAAATTAAAAATACATTCAGTTAAAGTCTCGTTAATCAAAATATAATCTCAGATTTTGTGAACTAAATAGCCGAAGAAAATGCAATTTAAACGCATTCCCATGTCTAATGTCTAAACCACTTTCGGTCTTTCACTTTTGTCCTCTTTCATGGGAGAGAATTTTCTCATTTCTTCTTTACTAAGGTATGTCGTCAAAGTCTTCTCCGTCGAACCTACGCAGCCAATCTTAATCTATCTTTGTGCGTGTCGTCTATTATCGCTTCTTTTTTCCGACGTTAGGAAGGGGATCGGAGCTTATCGCCAGGGATGGACTATTTTGCAACCTTGCCGGAAGGCTGCATAGCCGAAATCCTTTCGTTCACGTCGGCGGAAGACGCGGCGAGATTATCGGCGTTGTCGAAGGCGTTCAGGGCGGCGGCCGCGTCGGAAACTGTTTGGGACAGATTCCTTCCGCCGGATCCCGCCGATATCATCTCGAGATCGGTGTCTCCGGTGGTGTATTCCAACGCCAAAGAGCTTTACTTCTCCCTCTGCGACTCCCCCATTCTCCTCGACGGAGGCAAACTGGTGCACCGCCGCTTTTCTTTTCCTCATTTATTTATTCCTAAGAATATTCTTGGTAGAACTTTAATTTATTTTAAATTAGAAATAATTTATGAACTTGTTTAGTATAATATAAAAAATTTAAAATAATAATTTATCTAAAAATAATTTTTTTTGAGAACCATCTCAAAATATTATTTAAAGTAGCGTTTCAAAATAAGTTATGACTTTTTAACTATTTTTATTTTTATAAATCTACAAAAATAACACTAATTACTATTCATTTATCAAAATCATTATTAGATCTGTTTGGTAACATAGTTAGTTTATCAGTTAATTTTGATTTTTTAACCATTATTAATTGTTTGTTTTTTTTTTTGAATTGTACTGGCTCTATTACAATGTAGTATCTATTCATATACTTTTTTAACCTACTGAAACACAAAGAATCAATAACACTTCTAGTGAGGCTCGAACTCACAATCTTCCAAATGGAAGTCTAACTCGGGTATCATTAGATCACATAGTCTTGGTAACATTCAATATAAGTGTTGATTAATTGTTTTTTTTTGTAACATTTTATTAATTCAAAATGCTAAAATTTTAAAAAGTTTGCTCAAATTTCAATAAACTTTTTAACAAAGTTATTTTGCATGTAATCTTCAGCTAATTTACTAAATAGTTTTTTATAATTAGTTAATACTATTAACTAATCAAATTTATTACAGAATCAACTAATAATTATTTACCAAACAGATCCAATATCTTTTCTCTTTTTTCTCTTTTTCTTTTTACATTTATTAATTAATTCACCAGTTATTATTATTATTATTATAAAATTATAAAATACTTTAATTTCAATTAGTTAGTTTATTAACTATTAATTTTTCAATTTTCAACTAATTTTTCTGCTATATTTCACCATTTGATTGGGATGTGAAATTGTGAATGAAACAGAGCTTTTCAGTTGATAAAAGGAGCGGGAAGAAGTGCTTCATGATCGCGGCAAGAGAGCTGAATATTAGTTGGGGGAACAATCGGAGTTACTGGGTATTGAAATCTCACCCTGACTCCAGGTTTAATTTTCTCCCTAATTTCTTTCACTCCCTCATATATCCATAATCTTTGAATCTTGGAAAGCTTTGCTGATATGGTATAAGCTCTCATCAATGGCAGATTCTCAAAGGTGGCTAGTCTCCGGTCAATCTGCCGGCTTGATATTCGGGGCAAGATCGGAGCTCAAATGCTCTCTGAAACCACAAACTACGCGGCTTATCTTGTGTTCCGATTAGTAGACAACCCCTACGGCTCTGAACCGGCAAACGCGGTGGTTAGATTCGCTAGCCGGGAGAGCGTGGAGGAGGCGGAAATGCGAGCTAATCGGGTGATATTATGCGGCGGCCAGTTTAAGAGACGTGGATTCACAAGGGAATTTGGAGGTGGAAACCGGCGGCAGGTTTGCCGGGAGAGAAGCGACGGGTGGATGGAGGTGGAAATGGGCAGGTTTTTCGTGGACGGAGGAGTCGACGACGGCGATGTGGAAGCGCGGCTGATTGAGACCTTGGACCTGAACTGGAAGAGCGGTCTCATTGTTGAAGGCATTGAGTTCCGGCCTACCTAAATCCAAAACAGCTCCACTCAAGCTTTTAAGATCAAATATTGGATCCATTTCCAATGCTCCACGCAAAGATGCATGTTAGTTGAGAAACAATGATGAACTCTGTTCAAAAATTGGTTTAAATTCACATTTGAAGTGGTCATTTGTAGTATTATTTTTAAGGAATAAGGGTCAAACACTTTTTAGGAATAAGGGTCAAAAAGCGGATTTTCATACGGAATCCAAACACTTAAAATTCGAAAAATATTTTTCAGAATTCATTTTTCGGGTTTTCAAACGGACCCATAGTCTAGTTCAATTTAGGTCGAGTTGTCGGGTCAAAATATATTCAGATTTTAAAAAAGATTTAATTAATTTGATGTATTATAGACTCAAAATAGATAATGGTAAATGAGAATTAGATTCTCAAAGTGTACTAATTTGAATTGGTGAGAGATTTTCTAAAGTAGCTTTTGTCATACATTAAAAATAGACAAATTCTAACTCATAAAATACATTATCTTAAAATTTCATTATTCTAACACATAAAGTACATTATACAGTATTCTAACTCATAAAATACATTATCTTATTTTAGAAATTTTATTATTCTAACTCATAAAATACATTATCTTACTCCATAAATTTCATTATTCTAACGCATATAAAGTACATTATTTTACCACATAAAGCACATTATTTTAACTCATAAAATACATTATCTTGCCCCATAATGTTCATTATTCTAACACATGTGAATCAAAATGATATCGTTTTAAACCGTGGTACACACAATAATTTGCCTTAAAAAGAGATTTGGATTTTCATCAATATATATACACTAAAACTTTTTTAAAAGTTTGAATTGTATAGAATAAAAAATCTTTATCGTAAGGCACATAAAAGCACACAAAGCATATTCATATTTTATACAAGAGTTAATCGCTATTTTGGTCTCTCAATTATTTTTCAATTGTCAATATAATTCTTAATTATTAATTACAACCAATTTGATTCTCAGATTGTTTAAGCTTCCGTCAATTAAACCTACTCAGAGGTAGATTTTTCACAATTTTAAATTTCATCAATTTAATCCACGGAAATGTTTAATTGATGTATTTTAAATAATTTGAAAATCAAATTAATTGAAATTAAAACCAAGGGGGCGTTTGGTTCATAAAATGTTATATTACCTTAGAGAATGTTAGATTGCTAGAAATGTTAGATTACTGTGTTTGGTTTAAAACTAAGGTATGTAAATAAGACAATGATAATAAGACAAATTGATTAAAATGTCAAAAGTCCAAAATTAATAATAAGATAAGGGAATGTGAGATTACCTAAGAAATTGGATGGTATCTTACATTCCTTTCCAATAACTAAAAACTTAATAGAGAGGTTATGTGATACTCTCTGGAAAAATTACATAACCTGAACTAAACATGAAAATCTTATATTCTAAAACAAATATAATCTTAGTTATCTTATATAACTTGAACGCAACCCTAAAAATTACATCAATAATTTAAAAATAATTGAAGAACTAAAATACTACCTCCGTCCCATTTTATGTGTCTTGGTTCGATTAACGATGCTTGAATGAAATTATTTTTAATATAATTTTTCATAATTTTAATTTTAGTATTTGTATACAAAATTTATATATTTTAAAAACTACATTAAAAGTAATATTAAATTTAAAAAATCGAATTTAAAAATAAATAAATAATACTAAAGAAAATAAAAAAAGAAAAAATAATTAGTTTAACCCAATAAATAGTAGGTAGGACAGATAAAATGAGATAGAAGGAGTATGAATTTCTCATCTATATAGGGAGAAAATTAATTTTGGTTTCAAAAAAAAAAAAAAAATTATAATTTCAACCCTTTTATGGGTGAGGATGGCAAAGGCCCCACTTTTGTCATCTTACACGGGAGACTTTGACTTTTCTCATTTCTCTTGCGACGAAAACCTAGGAAGGGGAATGGCGGATCGGAGCTTATCAGGGTAGGGATGGACTTCTTCGCATCCTTGCCGGAAGGCCTCATATCCGACATCATTTCGCTCACGTCGGCAGTAGATGCCGCAAGATTATCGGTGATCTCGAGGGTATTCAAGGCGGCGGCCGAGTCGGACTCTGTTTGGGGCAGATTTCTTCCGCAAGATCTTAGCGATATCCTCTTAAGATCGAGGTCTCCGGTGGTGTTTTCCAACATGAAAGAGCTTTACTTCACCCTCTGCAACTCTCCCATTCTCCTCGACGACGGAAGTAAACTGGTAGGCCGCCCTTTTTCTTTTTCCCCCGTTAATTTCATTTATAATTATCTCCATATCTTGATTGGGATGTGAATTGTATCTATATATTTATATATGAATCAAACAGAGCTTTTCACTTGATAAAAGTAGTGGGAAGAAGTGCTTCATGATAGCAGCAAGAGAGCTGGATATTACATGGGGAAACAAACAGTATTACTGGGAATTGAAACCTCACCCTGACTCTAGGTTTTCCCCTTTATTTCATTCCCTCATCAATAATCTTTTCCAGTCTTTGTATGTTCGAAAGCTTTGCTAAGAAGCCCAACAACAGGTTCTCAGAGGTGGCTAATCTCCGGTCCGTTTGCTGGCTTGATATTCGGGGGGTCATCACAACTAATATGCTCTCTGCAACCACAGATTACGCAGCTTATCTAGTGTTCAGATTATCAGACATGGCCTGCGGCCTTGAATCCGCAAAATCATTGGTTAGATTCGTTAGTCAAGAGTGCGACGAGGAGGCAGAAAATCGAGCTGACGGGGTGAGTCTGTTTGGCGGCCAATCTAACAGACGTGGTGGTTCTCAGACTTCCAATGAGCTTCGCCGAGAGAGAAGCGATGGATGGATGGAGGTGGAATTGGGTAGCTTTTATAACGACCAAGGAGACGACGGTGATGTAGAAGCGCGACTCATTGAGATCTGGGACCTGAATTGGAAGAGCGGTCTCATTGTTGAAGGCATTGAGTTCCGGCCCAAATCTTGAAAAACATAGTTATACCCAAATTATAACCTGAACCAGGGTCCATCTTGATGGATTCTGGTCCATAATTACGTTTGTTTCATATTAATAGGTCCTCTTCTTCTTCTTTGTGTGTGTTTCGCCATCATCTTCCCAAATTTCCTAAATCATATTCTCTCTGCGTGTTCTCCTTCCTCAATTTTCTTAAACCATTACTGCAACTATTCCCCTTGTTGATATCATTGCTGTGAGTTGTCGAAATTGTGGAATGTGCAAGTGATTAGTTAGAATTGAGTGTTGATGAAGCTTTTTCGTTTCCAGGTTCTTCTATTACTTTGGATTTGTTTTGTTTTAATTTGTGTTGAACTTTTGGTTCACATGCTTGTTGTTTTTTTTTTTTTTTTGGATATTCCCAGCTTAAGCTAGGCTAATCCTAAGTCCCCAGAATCCCTCCCAAGAGTCGTTGGAGGAGGTAAATCGCGAGTTGCCCTGTCAGTCTCTAGGTTCCCACCCCTTGCTTGTACACGCTGCGCACAAGGGTCCCTTATCCGCTCGGTCGAGTTATGATTAGCATTTTATTTTTACGATTTGCTTGTTTCATCAAATTATGATTTACTTGTTTAAATTTAGGTTTTAATTTGTGTTTAATATGTGCTAAGATTAGTATTGCATTTTAATCATTTGTAGTTAGTGTTATGAAACTGTGGTATTGTTTTTGTGAAATTGTAGAATCGTTTTTTTGAACCTATAATGTATGTTTTATGAATCTGCAATAATCGTTCAATAGCATTGTAATTTCAATTGTAGATATTATGGACATAGAACAGAGTGATTGTAATTACAAATGACGTACTTGTAGTTTAAAATTTATGTACGATATGTTTTATCTTTATGGACATTTATAACAGATGTTATGGACATAGAACAGATTACTGATAGTCTACATGATGTTTCTGTAATTTAAAGTTTATGTACTTTGCGCTTTAGTTTATGAACATTTATAATAGATATTATGGACAGAATATACTCATATAGTATTGCCATTACACATGATATTCCTATAATTTAAAGTTTATGTACTTTACACATGATATTCTCTAGCAATTCTCTATTCTGTCTATAATAAATGTTATATAGAAGCTTTATGATTGTAGAGAGAAGCTTTATGATTGTAAGGAGAAATGGTGTCTTGCTTGTAACAAAGATTATTTCTCTGGTGGTAATTTATAATCTCAAATGAGTGAAACTACTAATCATTTTGTTTTAATAAAGTTATCAAAGTTTGCTGCATTTTTTGATTTTTATAATTCTTTTGTTAGTGTTATATCCAAATGGAAAAGTATAGAGAATGGTGATATTCTTCCAAGATGGTGATAAGGTAAATGTGTCATAAGAATATTTGATAGAGAAGCTTTATGATTGTAGAGAGAAATGGTGTCTTGCTTTTAACAAAGATGATTTCTCTAGTGGTATTTTATAATCACAAATGAGTGAAATTACTAATCATTTTGTTTTTATAAAGTTATCAAAGTTTGCTGCATTTTGTCATGTTTGTGATTTTTATAATTCTTTTGTTATAGAGATTTGTGAAGATGTACGGTGTTGTCAAGTTATATACATGTAATGAAGCTTCTTTCACATGCTATGGAGGTATTTTCCTTTCAGATTTATTATTTGTTTGAAGAAATTTTTTTTGGGAGCTACCGCCTGCTATCAAGATTCTGTGTTGTCTGATGATAGTCAATATAAGTATTCGTGTGGTAACTTGAGATTGATATTATTATACATGAAGTTTGTTTTAATCCTAAAGATTTGGATATTCATTATAGCTGTAAGTTGTTGATAGAAATGATTTCTCTTTGTTGCTATTGTTTACTCATATTAAATGTGCATTGCATTTATGAAATTCTTGAAAAATTCGTTATGAAGAAATGGAATGAAAAGCCTATCAAGGATAGAAACATGGATGTCTTTATCTTATTGTCTTATGTTTTTTCTTCTGTTTGGGTTATTGAAATGATTAGGAAGTTTCAAGGTTGATTGTTTCTTGTCAAAGTCCTCAACAAGTTTGTGAAGAGCTTTTGAAAATGAAAATAAACTAATTGAAGGTGAGATTAGTTGTATTTGTTTCATCTTCAAGTCGTATCAAGTAGGAGAATTAAAGGTGAGTGTAATCAAAGGTAGAACAATGTTATATAGAAGTATAATCATGCAAAAGGGGAAGGAATTATGCCAATATGATTCCTTCAAATACCAAAGCAACAATTTAATCTCTAGTTCAAGAGACTTTTTATGAGATTGTTGGAGGATGATATTTTGTACATCTAAGTTCTGAAATTTACCGTTAGTTTATGTTAGTAAAAGTTCATTGCATAAGTCAATTGTAAATGGGCTTTATAAACGCATCATTTTATGAACCTTAGATACATAATGTTCAAATGGACTATTGATTTGCACGCGATAATGCATTTGAGCCATTCAATCTAAAAAAAAGTGTAATTGGATTTCAAAATTAATCAATTTTATGTAATTCATTTTATTTGCCGGTAATTTCCATATACAGAGATATCTATATTAATTTGCCAATAATTTCTATATACATATCTATTATGAAAAAGGGTAGTTAGTCACCAAATTATCTTGATTGAATGATAATTAGATAAAATTGACAATTAATTTTACCCCAATTTACAGGGTGTTTGGTTGGAGGGATTTTAAATTCCATTCCCACTTAATTCCCACATAATTTCAAAGGCCATTAAATTCCGTAGTTTGGTTGGAGGGAATTGCAATTCCCCCATTTTCATGGAATTAAAATCCCATGTCCCCCCTGGGATTTTAATTCCTGGGAAAAAAAATAGTGATGAGTCAAAATTGCCCCTTCCTTTTTTAACCTAAAATTAATGTCTAACAACAATAATTGACATTTTTGACTTTATACTACTTATTCCCTTTCAATTCCCATGTATACCAAACATTGGAATTGAAATTCCCAGTAATTCTATTCCTGTCAACCAAACATTGGAATTTAAATTCCCACTTTATTCCCAGTAATTCAACTCCCATGAAATTACAATTCCTTTCCCACATAATTCCCCCCCTCCAACCAAATGCTCTGTTAATGTTATTTATTATGAAGAGCTTGGTAGTCACCTAAGTGCTAGGTTGATTGACAATTAAACTACACTCGATTTATGTTTATTCTGAATAGAGCATGTGTTAGGAATAAATGAATAATTGTATATAGATTTTGATGAGTCAAAATGTAATTTAGGATAAAAAATTTAGACCCCTATTTTATTTTGTTTCGTATAAATTTTATTTTATAAATAAAAGGGTCAAGAAAATTAGTCTAAGAAAATATTTTGAGTCAGGCAAAGGAAGAAATTCGAAGCAGCCAAAGTTCAAGCTAATGTTGAAGGAAATTCGTTGGAAAAATCAGGCTAAGGAATTAAAGATAAGCTGAAGTTAAGAAATTGAGCTAAGGTCTCAATTTAAGCTAAGGAATCAAAGGATGAATTAAGGAATTAAAGATGAGTTGAGATTAAGAAATTGAGCTAAGGTCTCAATTTAAGCTAAGGATGGGATGAGTTAAGGATGAGCTATGGTTTTTAATGAAGGAGCCAATGTCTGAAATAAAAGAGTTAAGGATGGAAATCAAGGCAATGAAGGCATGGAATGCGTTGGAAAATTTAAAAGAAAATAAGCCAAGGTGGAGCTAAGGTTTTAATGGATGAGCTAAGGTCTTAATGGATTAGCTAAGGTTATATTGGATGAGCTAAGGTCTTAAATGTTGAAATAAGGTTTTTAAAGTAAAGGCTACGGTCCAAAAGAAGATGAGTTGAATTAATTAAATCAATTTTCCAAGGAGCTAAGCCATGATTCGAAGAATCAGACGGAGCAATAAAATAAAAATCAAAGCTAGGGATTTGAAGAGACGATCAAGAAGACAAAATTAATCAGCTTAGGAATCAAGAAGACCGTTGGAAATCAGCTAAGAATTAAAATTCAGCTACAATCAAGCTTTGGAGATTACTTGCAAAAAAAAAAAAAAAACTTACAAAATCTAAAGCATATGAGAAAGTAGCAGAATTAAAAATTCAACACCTCAAATCACCGTTACAAGATTAAAGTACAAATTTTAAATTTGAAACTGTTTATCTCTAACGGACAATTTCAAATTCACAGTTATAAAAGTAGATGAAGACTTGAAGAAGGAGATACAAGTGATACAAGTAACAACAGGAAGTGAAGCACACAACAGAGCAAAATTTTTAATTCCCCACAGGGGATGGGGAGTACTCTCCCCGTCCCGTCCCCGGAAATTATATATGTGTATAAGTATATAACTACATACATTTAAGCCCTACAACACACACATACATGTATTACTATGTATATAATATATATAATTTTAGAAAAATTATAGACATTGGAACTACTTGCATTGAGATTTATTTTTTTGGGATATGAATATGTTAGTAGTACTTTAGTTGAATATATATGAATTATTTATTTAAATGTAGTTTAATTTTTAATATTTTTATAAATTAGAAACGGAGTAGGGAATTTCCGTCATCGGATAATCCCCGGGGGGATGTGGAGATTTTTCCCTTCCCCAGCGAGGATGGGGACCGGGGTATGGCCCCCCGCCTCGCCTCGTTGACATATCTAGTGAGGACAACTTAATAGTTAATTGCATGAGCAGTTCAATCAGTTCTTGAGTGGTAGACTGTAGACAAGGACACTGACAACTTAATAGGTGATTATTTAATTTATCGTAAAATTATACAATGTCGATAATAAAAATAATGTATATTTCTTGATGTTTGCATCAATGCTTCTGTCAAACATACAATTTGTGAGGACAACTTAATAGCTAATCACATGGTTAGCTCAATTGGTTCTTGAGTGATAGACAGTAGACAAGGGCAAAGATAAATTAATAGGTGATTATTTAATTTATTTCAAAATTATACAATGTCGATAATAAAAATATTAATTACTAAAACTAGAAAATGGCTTGATAATATTTGTAATTTTTACCCTTAGTAATTAGCTAGTATTTTCATGTTCAATTGAAATGATAGAATTTCTTGATGTAATACTTTTTCTTTTGTCGAATTTTATAGTTTTATATTATAAAATCGTGTTGTAAAGTAAATGATTATTAAGGAAAAATTGCACTTTTCGTCTCTAAGTTAAAAGGTAATTGTAGAATCCGTTCATGAGTGTTGGTCATGCTCACTTTTCATCCTAAGTTGATCGTAAGTAAGATTTCAACAATTTCAACTTTGAAAAACTCATTTTTTACAGAGGCAACAATAATTGAGATAGTAATAATATTCGTTATGCTATAGTAGCATTTGGAAAACAA